AGCAAATGTATAAATGTGTTGGTTACTCCATTCTGTTTGATTTCCTAAAACTGTGAATCACTGTTAAAGAGCATCTAATGGATCCATATAAAGGGTAACTTGTTTTAACACATCTGGTTGTCCAGAGTATGTAATTGCTTACATCAGTTAAATATGAAGGCACACTGCCAATGCAGGTTCTGATTTGTGCACTTTCTGCATCATGTGTTAAAGACGGTCCTTCCTTAATGTCTCAGTTGAACACAGTCAGTGCTGAAGAAAATGCCCAAAGAGGATATGGAATATGGAAGTACATTGCTGCTGTTCCTTAACACAGTTCTTAATCAAAAGATGTGTTACAGCTCTTCTTTACCTGACTCATCCAACAGGACGTATCTTTTTTCAGAGCTCCTTGGGTGGAATAAAAAATTATACTGAAGATACAAGTCATTGATGACGTTTCTGTTAATGATACATTCTTCTTAAGTTTTAGAAGTTCAATGACCTGGATGTAAGATGTCCTGTACAGAAATCCAGTGTGAGGACTGGCCTGTTATTCCCAGTGAAGGGTGACTGCAGCTTTCTAGGATCGGGTCATTTTTTATTCTCCACAATCACAAAAGTTTCCAGTCTTTTAATTGGGAGATGTCTTGCTACTGTGTCTGGTAACCACAGCAGGAGAGGAGCCATGAGCAGATAGTTATGTCACCCGCAGTTAATAGCTGGTTGTGCCACTGATGATGTAAGACTTGCACAAGGAATGCCAAAGAACAGCAGTTGTTGTATTTCCTGTCTTACTTCCTCTAGTGTTGAGTCCATTTCTCTCTTTGCAGTAAATAGGGAGAGAAAACGATGCTCGTGTCCTTGATTTAAGGTTGAGATATAGTTCAAAGAGAGTTGAACCATGGTAACAGCAAGATTTTGTTCCTCCCCTCTCTCCTCGTGCCTGGGTTTGCCCAAGCCCTCAGTGGGGTAATTTGGTTCTCTGAACTAGATGGAAGCTGCTTTCTTTTTTGCTTCCTTGTTGGCTTGTTTGCTTTGTGTTTTTCTTGGTTACTATTTTACTGTGTTAGTGAGTTCAGTTGGCTCATAGAGGGCATTGACAGCAGCCAGAGGGAAACTGATTACCCAGCTAGGAGTGGAGCCACCCATTCCAGCAACAGAAAGTTGTTTAATTGATTTTGCCTGTGTCTTGAAACAGCAGTTTATTCAAATTCTAGCAGTGATTTAAAAAAGAAGCTGATTTCCCTCCCTAAGATGAAAAAATAGATTTTATGATTTCGTGACTGGTGGTAGTTTGGGGCTTTATTTGTGTTTTTATTTTGGCTTGTTTTTCTGTTTATGTGGTTTGGTTTTTTGTATGTTTATTCTGTTTTGGTTTTCTTTAATAGGATGGATAAAATCTGACATTCTTCATGATTAGTACCAGATGCTCTCTGTGTTCTCATCTTGGATTGCATTTTTTAATTTTTATTTGCTCTTTTTTAATTTAATTAATTCTTTTCCAAATTAGAACAGTGCTAGCATATTTTCTTGTTTTGATTATGTTTAAATGTCTTTTTTTTCTTTGAACTTCTTAGAATAATTTGTCAGAACCAATTTCCAGCCAGATTTGGAGAGTGATATAGTTTTGCTCAGCCCAGTTAGAAGAAGTAAGGGAAAGAATATCTTCATTGTCTTCCTGTATTTGGAAGGCTAGGTACAGTTAACTTATGATGTTTAGGCTTCTTAATAGTTACATCTTTTGCTTTAACAGAGACTCACTGAGCATTGTGTTTTTCTGTGTGTTACACAGAATGCTTAAGTTAAAAAGTTTAGTGCAGCTAAACAATTATGGACTTACCTGTAACCAGGCTGTGTGCTAGAGCAGGAGATACATTTAAATATTCAGTAGTTCAATGACAGTTTTAAAAAAGAAAATTAAACTTCTAAGATGTCCATTGTTTACTTTAGAAAATCATCTACATAAGGGTCTTGTCTGATGTATCCTTTAACAACTTTGCAGTACATGAACTGCTACAGAGCCAAAGTAAATCTCCTGTTTTTAAAGCAAACCCCATCAAATTTTCATTATGCATAATCATTGCGTATTATAAATTAGGTTCTTAACTAAAGACAACAGATGTTTTGCGTGTCCTCAGGGTTTTCACTAGTCCTGTGTTTGCACCATTTATAGGCAGCTGTGCAGAGGATGCTGGATCAAGCTGAAAGCCAGGTATGCTCAGAGACTTTTTGAGAAAGAACTGAAAAGTAATTTAATTTCCATCCGGTGTTTGTCTTCTAGCATGCTGTCCATCTGCTCTTGAGAACCTAATGGCCTGAATAAATTTAATATATAGTGGCTTGCATGAGCTGTAAACAATTATTTACTGGGTGGAACATAATTAAGCATATTTCTGGCTGGTTGGTGGCAGTGCAGCTGTGCATGCTGATGACTGTTCAGGAGATCTGAGTCAAAATGAACCTGGAAATACTGCTGTGTGCTGTTAAAAAACACTGTGCATGATGGTTTATTTGTGAATTGTAATTCTAAATAAATCTGTCAGTCCTGGGTGGCAAGACAAACTTGTCTTTTTAAGCAGATGGCAGGCTCTAAATAAGAGGATTCAGTGGTAGAGAAGGGCACAGATTCTTAAGGAAAAGAAAAAGGTAGGGGAGGAAGAAGCTGACTGTTCAGATGCCTGGAAGAGCATGGATCACAAGCTGGCAGTGTGTAGCAAAGAAAACTGCAGTTTTCATTTGAATCTTAGAAATTGCCTTAAAGAATAATTTGGCTTTTTATCTCTGTCATAAAATTAAACTCATGAGGATTCTAGCTCTGTTTAAACCACTGCATGAATCTGAAAAATAAGTTTTAACCTAGTTAATCCATTGTGTGTTGATCGCCATAGTTACATTTGGTTCCAAATCATGTTTAAACAGTTCTTTAGGTAGGGATCTAACTCTGTTTCATAATATGGGTAGAAGAATGCTCTGAACTGCTACCTGTCCAGAGCTCAAGATGTATTAGCAGCCATGTCTGCAAAGGAATAGACAGAAATGTGGTATGTTAAGAGACTGCATTATAGTATCAGTTCAGGGTTCAGTTACTGCTGAAGTAACAGTGCTGTTCTGGTGAGAGAAAATTGTGGCTGCAAGTCATGAACAGAACTGGTCGCAGGGTCAAAATGCTGCTTGTAAATAAACAGTTTTCAGTTGATTTAAAAGGAGAACTGTAAAACCACTCAGCTTTACAGATTACTTGGTTAGAATGAAAATTCCCTTTTTAAAATGTGTGTCTTGGTTGTAGTCAGTCAAGGCTTGCAACTTGGTAAGTCCATTTGGAATTACAGAAATCCTAATGGGCCAAAATGACCAGTATGGGCACTTTTACTTCCAGTGCTAACTATGAATTTAATTTTTTTAAATTCTGGCCTTTGGCATGTTGTTTTTATTTTAGCCTTTTCTAGATGCACAGAACAGCAATAATGCTAAGCTTGCTGAGCTTTGAGCTACTGCTGAAACAAGTGAATAGTCCTAGCTTTCTCTCTCCCAGTTGTGCTGGTTTTGGCCGGTTAATGTTCTTCATGGTGGCCAGTATGTGGCTGTGGTTTGGATTTGCACTGAAAATAGGGTTGATAACATAGAGATGTTTTTGCTATTGCTGAGCAGGGCTTACACAGAGCCAAGGCCTTTTGTGCCTTTCATGCTGCCACACTGGCAAGGAAGTTGGCGATACATGGGAGTTGGGGAGGAGACACAGCCGGGACAGGTGACCCAAACTGACCAAAGGGATATTCCAGACCATATGACACCATGCTCAGTATATAAACCTGGGAGAAGAAAAGGGAGGAAGGGCAGGGGCTTTTGGAGTGATGGTGTTTGTCTTCCCAAGTCACTGTTACATGTGATGGTGCCCTGCTCTCCTAGAGATGGCCGAACACCTGCCTGCCTTTGGGAAGCAGTGAATTAATTCCTTGTTTTGCTTTGCTTGTGTACCTGGCTTTTGCTTTCCCTATTAAACTGTCTTTATCTCAACCCATGGGTTTTTCAGCTTTTACCTTTCTTACTTTCTCCCTGATCCCGCTGGTGGGGCAGTGAATGAGTGGCTGTGTGGGGCTTGGTGTCTGGCTGGGGCTAAAGCATGGCACAGGTGTATAAAGCTGCCCAAGGCACTGGGCAGCTTTGAAAACAATGCTTTAAATAGATTCAGCTTGCCTTGTAGCAGCCCAGTGCTCACAATTGCACGTGAATTCAGTTGTCAGTTTTATTTTTGACATTCCCTTTCTTTATTCATTTCTAACTTCTGTGTATTTTAATGTTTTTTTCCACAGCTGGAGAATGGTGTGAGTTGGCATAACCCAGAGCCCCCAGAGAATCTGGGAACAGAGAAGGATAGAGCGAATTGCCCCTTCTATATTAAAACAGGTTCCTGCCGATTTGGAGACAGGTAATCAATTGAATATTTACCAGCATAGAAGTGTTTTGGGGAGATGAAAGGGAGGCAATTTCGTTAGGTCATAAGCAAACTGAAGAAAAATTGCTATATAAAATACTTTCATGTATTTGGATGTGGATTGAGAGCAGAAGCATTGCCTGGCTGGAATTGAGCTATTTTTTATGGCATATTATTGATGGTGCATTCTGGTTACATTGGTCAGACTTAGTTTTCCTTAGCTCTGACACATGCACAGATATATTCAGACAGAGTATATTTGGTTTGTTATTAGTACAGGCCTGAAATGTCAGATTTTGGTTTTTTATGTTGTCTACTTTGCATATGTTGCATTGTCTAAAAGATAAAATCAAATCTCAAATGGACTAAAGCAAGTTAAGGTAAATCTGCACTGTTGTGAAAGCTTCCAGAATTCTCACTGTTTAAGTGTGTGATACATTAGTTCTTGAGTCTTGTACACTGATAGGGGAGGGAAGTATAGTAAAAGGCAAGAACAGAGAAGGACAACAAGATGATGAGAGATGAGCAACAGCTCTGTAGGAGAAGTCACTGAGTCTAGACTCTTTTGAAAGAAGGGATGGAAGAGGGCTGTGATAGATGAACAGGAAATTCATGGTAGGATGGAAAGGATTATTTGCAGTTTCATCAGGTGTTTCTGAGTGTTTACTGGCTTTAAAAAAGAAAGGACTTCTCATATGAAACAAATGGCAAAACCTGTTGCCTGAGGACATAGAGAAAGCCAAAAGTGTAAACAGATTCATGGGGTACGAGTTCATGTTCATCAGTGACCAGGAACAACGATGACCCAAATGCTGCATCTGACTAGAAAATACCTGATTTTTTTTGTTGTTGTTGTGTTTAGGAGGAATAACATCTTAGCAAGGAAGGACACTGATATTTATTACATGAATCTTCAGCATAAATAAAGCTATTTTACTAACTTGTATCACTGAAATGTGTGTGGTCCAGCTATCATAGTTTTCTTTATCCTAGGAGTAATTTGTTTCAGTGTGATGTATATTGTGGATAATTATGTGGATAATTCAACTGTATGGAAGCTTCAAGTCCACATCTTTTTTTTCTATTTTGAAATATGTGTTTAATTCCATAATAAAGATTTGGCCAGCTATTTCACTGCAGACACCATTTTTGCTTTTCAAATGTCTAGGTCTTTGCAGTATTTTTGTTTCAGTGGTTTTTAATAGAGGTAACCTCCATGGATCATTTATGGGTTGCACAGAATTCAGCTTTGCTTTGAACTGTGAATAATGCTTGGAAAACAAATACTGAGAAACATCATATTCTGCCCTTCTTCTTTCATCCATAGTTGTTGATCTCAGATACCTCTCCATCTTCCTTCTTTCTCCTTCCATACCTGCTTCCTTCATATTCTGGTCATTTTAACCACTAGTGCTGTCTGTAAGTTGAAGGACAGGTACAGCCAGGGTAAGGACTGGAAGGATGGATTGGAAGCAGTTGGGAAAAACTAAGAGCCAGTGTTACCAATAAATAATTGTTGAATCTTGTCAAAGCTCACTGTATCTTGAAGAAGCTAAAACTGGCTGAGTTCACTATTATCCATTTCCTCTAATTCAAACCCTAATATTTTGCAGTAATACTGGATTTTTTGGTCATTAATTTCCTTTTGTTCTGTCACGTGCTGTAGTCATTTTGTGTACAGGCAGTATTGGTTGGATTTAATCTTTTGAGTTCTATTATTCAAATTGAACAGGAAAAGGAGGCAGCTTCTCAAATGTAAAAAAATAATAATCATCAAATTAATTGTCTCCTGGTTTAGTTTTGGGTTTGGAGATAGGGCGCTTTTTTTTAAACTCTGGTGTCAACCAGAAGGTGACTGACTGACTGGGTGCAGAAAGACACTTCACAGCTGAAGTCTAGGTTGGAATTGCCCATTTTGAGACCTCACCTCCCTGCAGTTTGTCTGTGCTGTGCCAGTGCCAGACGAAGAGGGCAGATTGTCTGGATATTTTTCTGAGCATGTCCTGAATAGGAGAAATGTGTTGGAGAGTGCATGACCCAGTTGCTTGGGGAAGTATGAAATGGAGATCAGAGAGCACAGTGAAATAAACATCGAGGCCAACATCTGTGTTCTTACTGGATCTAAAGGTGTCTGGGGGAGAACTGTATTTCAGCATGTGAGGGAGGTAGCTTGAATATGATGGATGGTGAGGGAGACCTAATAGTTTTATGGCTGCCAAGAGGATGCAGACTAAGATAAGACTGACTTTAAAGAGTTTTTTTATTTTATGTTTTTTTTAGAAGTGGAAAAATAGCAGTCTTGTACTTACCCAACCACAGGTCTAAACATGCTGTCCTTCCCTCACTCCCTCTCTCCACCCCTATATGATGAGAACAATTTCAGTGAAAGTTGTTTAGTTTGTGGAAAGAAGAGCAGGGATTTGCTTTAAGATGAATTTGTAGAAAGAATACTGGCAATCTTTTAAGCCCTTCAGAAATTGGGAACACATTTAACCCTAGTAGCCTGAAAGAAATTACTTTAGCTCTCATTGTGACGCTGATATCTATAGCTTTTGTAGATACGCCTTCTTAAGCAACGATGTATTTGTGCATGGCAGGAAGCATTAAGATTATGTGCAAACTCACTCCAAAAGATTTGTTTTACTAATTGAAATACGTTGATCTCCCACTAATGGATTTTCTTTTATAATAACTCTAACTGAAAACGGCAAGTGTTTGAAGCTTCAACATTTTCTGCTGCAAGTGCCAATCTTTCCACTTTTCTTTCTTCTCTACTACTCTCCAGGTGTTCTCGCAAGCATAACTACCCAACATCCAGCAAGACACTCCTTGTCCGAGGGATGTTCATCACCTTTGGCATGGAGCAGTGCCGGAGGGATGACTATGACACAGATGCAAGTCTTGAGTACAGTGACGAGGAGACCTACCAGCAGTTCCTGGAGTTCTATGAGGACGTGCTCCCTGAATTTCAGAATGTGGGGAAGGTTGTTCAGTTCAAGGTATGCATCTAAGTGTGGTTTACAAGCCTTAAGAAAAATCTGTCCGGCGTGCCCTAGCTAAATCCCGTGTGCGTTAGGAAACTACAGTGTCCTTACAGCAAGCTGGACATCTCTCATGTCACCTGTAAACTTGCCACTGCTGTTACAGAGCACTGTCTTCCTCTGGGTGAATCTTCTCTCCCATTCCCCTGGACTGTTATAAAAGCTTGTGCTTTTATATTGCAAGTTCTTCACACTGCTCAACAGCCCACTTACCTCACAGTCCTTTCTTTATCCTGTGCTAAGCCCCAGAGGGTCCACTGAGATGGTTAGACAGGATAAATACATCTGAGCTATTGTATTTGTGCCTAAGGAATGAAATAGTGGGAGTATGAAATGTATTTGGAGTGTACACCCAAACAATGTCATTTTAGGACTGACTGGATAAAATAAAATCAGATTACAAAGAACTGCAAAGCTAGTAGGTATTCCAGTAGGAAGAATTATAAAAAGGTACATTATGTAAATGGTGTTTAGATTTGTCATCCATCCTTAGTTTGTGCATTTGGTTTGCTGAATGTTTTGTACTGAATTTTTCCCACTTATATTGTGATTTCTTATGGGGAAAAGCAGGGATCTGTAAATGGAGACCACTGAGATGAATGATGTGTGTTAACAGTCCCATGTTGCCCCAAAATTATGCAGCTTGGATGGTGAAATCTCCTCGTATCAGAATCTATTGCAGCATCCCTTTCTGCTTGCCATTCCTGAGAGTTTTCTTGCAGTCACCAGGAGGCACATGGTGCCTTTTCTCCTTTTGTTTCCATCTACTGACAGTAGTGCCTCGGGACTGAGGTGGTATTAGCATTTCAAGCAAGAGGAAAGTAGAAAGAGTGAATTTTCAATAGTTGTGTAATGAGCTTTATAGGTAAGAAACCTTCACTTGTTTGGAGGAGTATCCCCTCCATATTGTGACTCATGGGCTATCAGCAAGCTGTGGTCTGTGCTAGAAGATGGGATGTAGATTCCCTATGGAGGTGGGTAAAATGTCTTACCAGCAAAGTCAGATCCTTGACTTTGTATCGTCGTTCTGTGTGGCTGTGCTAAGCTGCACCTACTTGGGTCCCTGTGGTTGTTTGTGTGGCATTCCATGGCTTCCAAGGCAATTGTGCAATCACAAGGTGATTCTTATGGACATTTTCATTACATTAGATATGCCTCAGAATGACATGTTGGCTGCAGGGATCTTAACTGTGAGTGAACTGAGTCTCTGCAACTGTTTAGAATCAGATTATACACACCCCTCTTTCAGCTGATTTCTTTTTCCAGTGTAGCCCAAGGTTTTATTCTTGTTGTTCTTTCTGGGAAGCTGCTCCAGAGTCTGGGAGATCCTAATAAAACACTCTTCCTACCCAAAAATGTCTATGCCAAAATCATTCTCTCTTGTTCTTGTGTTGACATTGTTTATCTCAAATAGTTTGACTCCTTCCTGTAATATTTAATTATACAACTGCTTGTTGTTGTGACTGAAGCCCTTTCCTGATCCAGTGCACAAAGAAATATTTCCTGAGGATCAGTCAGGGTTCAGGGATGAAAGGAGCTGCTAGCCTCACTTGTGCAGATACTGGAAGAGGCCTGGGGGCAACAGGGGTTGGGATTGCAGTTCTGCCCTGCAGAACTGTGTTCCACCTGCCTGGGCCTGCCCATCAAAATCTTTTGTAATTAGCAGCAGGCTTTCTGGAAGGTAATTTGTGTATTTTTTGAGAGCTTTAGTTATACTCTGAATGCTAAATCATAACAAAAAAAGGGTTTTTGGAACCTGTACAGTGAAAGCTGGTGACTTCAGCTTTTCTAACCCATCTCACAGGGATGCTGTAAAGGTAAATTGCTCTAAAGAGTCTCTTACTGTAATGAATGCCACATTTCCACATGAGGATACTGCTAATTGTTTTCAGAGCAGATTTGTCTGTTGCACTGAAGGGCTGGCCTATACTCCAGTGCAAGACAATGGAGTATAAACTGTCTTGTGGGCTAAGTGAAGCTGAGGTCCCAGAGTTAATCAAAGCATAATGCTGGAAACAGTCAAACATAAGCCAGAAGGGCTTTTTTCTTTTTTTTTGGTTAAAACTAAGTGTTCAGAAGAAAATCATATCTAAGTTGATATGGATGAGCTCTCATAAATGAATGGCCCATCTCAGAATGCAGGAGCTGCTGTACAGCATAAACCTTCCACTGCACTGACTTTGTGTTTCCAACCCCTCAGGTCAGCTGCAACTATGAGCCTCACCTGCGAGGAAACGTCTATGTCCAGTACCAGTCGTAAGTACTCGCAGTCGTACTCAGTGCTAGAACTAAACTCCAGCGTTGAGTAATGAATAAGAAGTGTTTATATAATCCATGTGATTCATTCTCATACTGTAATGGGAGGCCAGAATTGGTAAGTGATGTCTGAACTGACTGTGTGATGGTAATGCTGTGTGTCGTTTCACTTTTTAAAGAGAGAAGGACTGTCAGGCAGCCCTGGCCCTGTTCAGTGGACGATGGTATGCAGGCAGACAGCTTCATTGTGAATTCTGTCCTGTGACGAGGTGGAAAACTGCTATTTGTGGTGAGTCATGTAAACACTTGGAAAAGAGAACGAGTGTTACTCAAAGAGTACTAATGGAAGTGAAAAAGAAGGATTAGTCTGCAGCTTTCGGATCTGCCTAATGTTGTAGTTCATTTCTGTTTGGAAGACAAATGTGCTAACTTGCTTGTGTAGATCTAGGAAAGAAAAGGAATATTATACCGTGGCATGTAAGTGCCTGAATTGTTTTAGTGGATTTACCTTGGACTGGAAAAGAAAGTTTAGATTCTAGCTTTGGAAATAATAATCTTAAAATGAAACTACACAAAGTACTACTTTATCTCTCAAAAAGCAGCAGCAGTTTCTGAACTATCAACAGTTCTTAGCAGTAGCTATCACATTTAACTTATCTAGATTTACACCCTTAGATTAAGATAAATGAAATTTAATGAAATGAAAAATGAAATTTGTTCTAAGGTAAAACCAAACCTTCATAGCTGTTAAGAAGTTAATTCCAAGAAAAGTACACAAGGAAAATTAATCTTGTGTGAATTAAATTGATAGGTGGTCAGAGGCATGTTTTTCTGTTTGGAGAAGCGAAATTCAGTTTATTAAGTTTCTCCTCAGTAGGTACATAATGAAGAAAGAGATTTAATAGATGATCTGGTTCATAAAAAATCAAACCCTAATCTGTTGCAGGCTTATTTGAAAGGCAGAAGTGTCCAAGAGGGAAACACTGCAACTTTCTTCACGTATTCAAAAACCCAAACAATGAGTTTTGGGAGGCCAACAGAGACATACGTATTTCTCCTGAACGGACTAATCAGTTGTCTAAAAACTCTGAAAGGAGAAACAGATCAAGCCATCGTGATGACTATTACAGCCGGTCCAGGAGAAGGGGCAGCCCGAGCCCAGATCATTCTTACCGGAGAAATGGAGAGTCCGAGAGAAAAAAGAACCGCCGCAAAAACAAGAGGCGGCGCCGATCGGGGCGGTCGAGGAGCCGGGAGAGGAGGAGGTCTCACAGCAGGGGGAGAAAGAGGAGAGGCCGCAGTCGCAGCAGAAGTCACAGTCGAACTCGCAGTCGGAGCAGAAGCCGGAGTTCCTCTCGATCCAGGAGCAGGGGTAAAAAGAGATCAAGCAGCAGAGGAAAAAATAGTGAAACTCCCAAAACAAAGTGAGAGTTACTTTTAGAAATCAGTAATTGATCAGAAATAGATCTGACAGAGAAATCTTTACAACAGGGCACCAGATATATTTTGAGTTTTAAATAAAGTGTTCTTGCACATTAAAATGTTTCTTCCTAATAAAGGAACCTAGTTTATTGTGTGCTAAGCTTCAGAAAATGAAAAGTTTTAAGTCCTATAGAAGGTGTGAACGTCAAGTACTCTAGCTACTCTGTCCCTCCGAACTGCTGCAACACCTGGATACACACTGAGTACAAATAGAGAAGTAAAGCCTCTTTGGTATATGCTTATTTCTGTTTTGTGTGTGTTAAGTGTTTCCTGTCCTGTAGGGAGTTAGTACAGAACAGCCAGTGTGCAGTAGATTTACACCCCTGCACGCTGCAGACCGAGGTCTGTGTAGACAACTGCCGTTTGTATTTTTCATCTGTTTATGGGAAATCTCTTTCTAGACAAAGTAAATATAATCGTATTATGAGTTTGAGTACAGGGATCTCAAAGACACCACTGTTTGATTGTACAGTACTTGCCCAGTAGGAGCTTTGTGGTCACGAGTGTTGGATTTTTCTCTCTCCCCTGACTTGAGCTGCTGGACTAATTGCCTGTAGGGATTGCAGTAGACTAAAACTGAGTAGGAAGTACACAGAGAAACAATCATTTTATTCAGTACCTTAATCCCCAAGTAAGAGTGGAAACCATGCAACTGTAATCCTTGAGTGAGGGTAGAAAATGCTTCACATACTTCTTGGCTACACACCATTTGTAGGTGAAAACAACTTGCCTAACCTGTGCTGGAGGGGTGGAAGTGTCCCATCTGGGAACCAAAGATGCAAATGTGATTGTGAAGGCTCGATCAAGACAGTTGCACAGTGGCTGAAGAAACTGAAGGGTTTATACCTGAAAGAATACTTTGTTTTGGTAGAGGAGGACTTGACTTTTTATGGTTTTTAGTTTATTTTACAAACAGTTTTAGGCACCCTACTGCCTTGCTTTCCTATAGCCAAGGTGGAGAGCAGGGTACATAAAAATGAAGTTACAGGGACAAAACCTTTTTGAAACGACAGCTGTATTAGTAAAGTACCTGCAGTTAGATAAATCCTTATAAATATTTTTTCACTTTTAAATGAAAGATTTGTGCTGTTAGATGGACTGTACTTCATACAGCTTAACTTCAGGTATTTAATGTGCGCACCTCAGATGCTTGGAAAGCAGTTTGTGGGGCTGAAGGTGCAGGTCTGCAGAGACACCTCCCTCTCTTTAGCTTCTCCAAAGAACTTGTGCTCCTGCCCTTAGAATACAGATCAGACCCCATGAGTTAGAAGCCTGAAATAGGCGTGAAGTGCTCCCAAATAGGAATTCATTAAGATTCCAATGATGTAACATGCACTACCATGGAATATCTGGATTATCCAAACTTTACCAATAGCATTCCTCACAGCAAGAATGTTTTTTTTCCCCAGGATAGTTAAGAGTGAGTGAACATTGCTTCTGGATATAATATATATATTTTTGCTTTTCTAAATGCATACTGCACCTAGCATGCTGATTATACATTTTTCCTTCTTTCTTCATGTGTAACTGTTGTCCAATATGGAGTAATACAACAAAAGTGCTATATATTGATGTTCAGTTCAAACCCAACTTTCACTATATATTGTCATAACTGTAGGCAGAGCTGTAGCTTAGTTAATTTGATTAAATGTTTTAGTTATTAACAGATGTAGGAGCTGTAATAGCATAACTTTTAAAATAATAACTTTGAAAGGTGTATTTCAAAGGATAGACAGCACTAATTTTAAATTCCATTTGAGAAATTTGTGACCACCAGTTTCTCATAACATACCTTTTTCTGACTAGACCTTACAGACAGATTTTTCCTGAGGTTTCTGTTTTTCTGTAGATGCTCAATTGTCTCAGTGGTCACTTGTGCAGCACGTGGCAAACTCTGGTTCAGTTCCCTGGAGCAGAACTGAATGGGCATTTCCCATGTGCAGAGATGTCACCAGCAGGCTGGTA